CCCCCCCCCCATGGTTACAACGCAGACTTCTCCCTGCTGCAAGCAAGGGCCAAGGGTTGCGTGTCTTTAGTGTCTTGGGTTGGACTGGAAGGGGATGGAGCCCTCTGGAAGCTGCTGCGGCCTGGCCAAGGGAAGTGCCAGTGTCTGGGCTGCATGGTGGGCTGCCAGGCCCTTGCCCGAGGAAACGACTGTCACCTAGGATGCCTTAGGGAAACGAGCCTCCTGATGAACAGTGATGTATCGCTCTGGTGCCTTTCTTGTAGCAAAATGCATTGAACTGATGCCTCCTAACATCCTCCTGAAGAAAGGAAGTGGCAGATAGTGTTAAAACATTACTGGTTAATCACGAGGAAACTGAAGCATGGATAGGTTTATGGAGGCTGAACAGAGCCACACAATGCCTCACTGTCTGGCCTGGGAATGGGGCCTGAGTTTGCTGCTTGCTGTCAGGACTGCCGACGGCATTGTGTTTAGCATTGTACGGCAGTGAAAGGGGCTTACTCTTAACAATGCAAGAGCTGCTTTAGGAGACAGACACAATGAACTTGGGTACAGTATAGTCTAGAGGCCAAAATGAGTAATTTTAAGTAAATGGACTATGAGATCTGAAGCTTCATTAAGTTTTAAAATGAAAAACAAGTGAAAACTGTAGAGTTTTTAGGAACAGACTCAAAAAAACATGAACATTCTTTTCCCCGTTTGAAATAGCATATTTTTAAGAGCCTTATTTTGTTGGCTCAAAATCTGACACTACTCCTGCCAAGCATAGGATTTATTTATTTCAAATAAATATTCAAAGGTTCTGTGATTTATTTCAAAGATTCTATCTTGTAATGATTGTCAGTCTAACCTTTGTGCCTTTTATGTTCCAAAATACCTGATTTCCATAGACTGTGGTTTTGTGTGTGTGGTGGAGGGAGGCTCCCCCCTCCCCCCCCCCCCATTTAGTTTGAGTTATTCCAGAACAGTTGAAAATACAGAGCCTGGAATTCAGGAAACAGATTTGGGGGAGAGGAGACATGTCATGTTAGGTGTCTTAACCATCACTGTGGAGAACCTAGAGGAGATGGAAAGATCTGTGTGAGTACAGTGTCACTGCTAAATTGCTTTTCATGCCAAAAGTGCCTTAGTGACCTAGAGACAAATTAACAGGTGATACAGATATTGAGTTTGGCTGCAAACATTTTTACGTTTTGGATTTTAAAAAGAGCATGAAGGTGAGGGTGCCTGGGGGGCTTAGTCCGTTAAGTGTCTGACTCCGGCTCAGGTCATGCTCTCATAGTTTGTGAGTTCAAGCCCTGCGTCGGGCTCTGTGCTGACAGCTCAGAGTCTGGAGCCTGCTTCAGATTCTCCATCTCCCTCTCTCTCTGCCCCTCCCCTGCTCATGCTCCATCTCTGTCTCTCTGTCTCTGTCTCAAGAGTAAAGAAACATTAAAAACAAAAACATAAAGGTGAAATTTTGGAACTTCTGGCCAAAGTACGTTGAGTAATACTAGCATTTGAATAACTTAAACAGAGCCAGATAGCGAGCCGTCACCTATAATTTTATTCTGTATTTAAGATTTGATTGTTTCGACCTGGAAAGTTGGTCCAGTCCCCCTCTAGAAGATGGCCCGAGAGAATTCTAGGAGAGAAGCTGAGCAAGAAAGCGGCAGTCTGGAGCAGGAATCGGGTCTCCTCTCTTTTCCCAGTGAAGATCAAAGCAGCCCAATAAGAGAAACCACAGTGTGACTGGTGGTGTTGTCTGACATAGTAAATAGCGGCTAGCCAGTGGTCCTCTTTGAGGGAATACGTAGATACATGCAAATACGTACCTGCCCCTTAGGAAAGTTCCCCGTGAGTCCAGGGCACTCACAGATAAAATTTGCAAAATGTCAGACGGTATCAGCCAGCCTTCGTACGCATCCAGGATGTGATGTGCTGGCATCTAGGGTGCTGTTTATAGTTGTGGTCATTAATCTTGTAAGAGGAAGACATAATGGAGCTCAAGTAATGCCAAGAACAGAACTAATGTGATGGAGCAGTAGGGATTGCTGTATGCCGGCAGACTGAAACAATTAGGGCTCCTCAGGCTTGAAAAGACAGGAAATATGATTAGAGTTTAATTTGTGAAGAATATGGATTAGATGATCTTAGAATTGTTTACCAGAAGTAGGGAGAACCTCTTAAGAGCCAAGGAAGAGTGTACTGGGGACAAAAAGAAGCTCTCTCATACTGGGAAAGTAGACCCTGTACAGTGCAATCACTCTTAAATTGGACTAACTTATGGCATTGAAGTAAAGTGAAAGGTCAAGGGTTACTCTTAGTTTGATACTTTTTTTCTTGACTTGTGAGGGGCAGGGGCCCCAAGAGAACATAGATCAAGCTTCCCATTAGCCTTTACATTTTCTTTTTTTTTTCTTAGGTGAACTTTCAGTGTCATGGGTTTTTCCTTCAACATTTATTCGTTGAGGGTAGATTATGTGCCATGTCTTCCGCAAAGCCCTGGGGACACTGGGATGAAGATGGAGAGGTCTGGTTCCCACAGTTTGGTGATGAATAGGAAACTGTAATTGTGTGATGAATTGACAAACGTGTGTGAGAGCTTGACAGAAATGGCTCACATTCTCATAGAAACAGGTCGGGTGCCCCTGGAGAAGGGGTGCTGAAGCTGAGACCTAAAAGCTGACAAGTCCACTGAGCTAAGATCTGGGGTAAGAGGGAACAGCATCTGGGAGTGCTTGGAGTTGCCAGAGGGTTGTCATGATTGGGGGGCAAAGTGAGGGAGGAGTGGCTGGAGAGTGACCCGAAAAGAGGCTGGGGGGGGGGCACATTGGTGGAGCGGATTCTGGAAGACTTTGTAGGTCCTAAGTGTTTGGATCCTAGAATAGTTGGAAGTCACGGAAGGGGCTTAAGCAGATAAGATCAGATTTTGTTTTTATAAAAAAATCATCGTGGCTGCCTCATGGAGAATGGAGAGGGCAAGAATGAATATCCCGGGACTGGTGGGAGAAGGTTGATATTGTCTAGGTGATGGTGGCTTGGACTGGAGAGCAGCGGGCATGTTCTAGAGCTCTTTCAGAGGAGTCATGGACAGGATTTGTTGACTAACTGGATATGAGAAGTATGAGAGAGAAATAGTCAAATTGATCTTATGAGAGCCAATTAGGCCTCAGATTTTATCTGAATGAGAATTAGCACAGACTTTTCATAGGTCTTTTCTCTTGGGATCTCCAGATGATCTAGCAATCAATAGGTCTCCCTCCCCCACCTGTCCCTCATTTTCTCTCCTGAATTACTGAGGGTTCTACAAGTTGGCACATAATTGGCCCCTAATAAATGATTGTCAAGTAAGTAGAAAGATCATAAACTGCCTAATTTCCAGTCTCCCAAATCCCCCTGCCTGTAACTCTTGGAGAGCAAACAGGTCTTGCCATGCACAAACTGTACAACTGTTCACAGTACCCTGAGGTCAGTTGACCTGAAACAGAATTAGGCACGGGTCAAGATGGCAGAGGTAGATACAGGGGCTCAATTTAATGATTTGTAAAAGCTTTTTATTTTTGAAATAATACCAGGGTTGTAAGACAAATACAGGGGCACCTGGGTGGCTCAGTCGGTTAAGCGTCCAATTTCAGCTCAGGTCACGGTGTCACAGTTGGTGAGTTCAAGCTCCACATCAGGCTCTGTGCTGACAGCTCAGAGCCTGGAGTCTGCTTCAGATTCTGTGTCTCCCTATCTCTCTGCCCCTCCCCTGCTCACACTCTGTTTGTCTCTTGCTCAAAAATAAAGAAATATTAAAAAAAAAATTAAAAGATGAATACAAGGAATTTTCTTATGACTCTCCGCTTCTCTGGTCATTAACATCTTAACCGTGTTTGCTCTATCACACTCCTCACTGTATAGAGCTGACGATGGACATAGATTTAGAAATTCTTCTAACCAATTAGACATCAAGACCCTTCATCTCTAAAATACTTCAGAATGTGTGTTCTCAGAACAAGGATTTTCCTTTTATCAGCATAGTACAACGATGAAATTCAGGAACCTAGACCCTCTGCAACCCTGTGTACAATTGTGCAGCCTCTAGTCAGCCCTCACCTCTTGTCCCAATGTCATTTCTGCCATTTTTCCTCTGCCTGTCCCAAGGGTCCAGGGTCCAGTCCGGAAGGCATTGCATTTGGTTACCCTGTCTCTAGTCTTCTCTAACCTAGAACAGTTCCTCAGCATTTCTTCAACTTGTAAGACCTTGAGATTTTAGAGAACAGGTCAGCCGTCTTGTGGAGTGCTCCTCAGCGTGGTTTTGTCTGAAGTTGTCTCATGCTTAGATTCAGGCTGTGCGTTTTTGGTAGGAGAGCTGAGCGATGATGTCCTGCCCTTCTCAGGGTGCCAGTGACAGTAGGAGGGGAGCCGTGAATTCCCTGTAGGTCTCATTCCTGGGAATGTTAGCTTTGAACACTTGGTTAAAAAGATGGTTTCTCCACCCTGAAGTTACCTTTGCTTCTTAAAACGAATAGGTTATTTAATTACTTCTTAATACTTAGTCATTGCAAATGTTACTAAGCTTTGTGTCCAGTCTTACTTAAAAGAGCCACATTTCTCCCCCTCTCTTGGCAGTGTTTTAGAGCACTTTGCTGCAAGGGACCACCACCTGCACGACCTGAGTATGACCTGGTTTGCATAGGCCTCACAGGTTCTGGCAAGACCAGTCTGTTGTCAAAGCTCTGCAGTGAAAGTCCCGAGAACGTCGTGTCGACCACAGGTGGGTACTGTGCCCGAGTTCTGTCCCTTTCTCATCCCCCAAATGGTCTTGTGTCTTATACTCTTTGTGGGACCCTTTATTTGTAGTTAAATGCGTCAGTCAGTTTATTTATTTTTGGATGTTCCGTTTTTCAAAATAGAGTTGGGGTGGTGAGTGGCATTAAATGGCTACACCCTGTATCTCTCTCATTAGATATTTCAATGCCACTGAATAAGTCAAGCTCCGGAGAACATTAATACAAACTAATGCAGAAACCTGGAATTCTAGAACTGTAACAAAATGGCTTCATCTCGGCCTCACAGAGTACTAGTCCCCCTTGAAGAGTCACTCTGGCCTACTTGAGTCGGTCATACACTCCCCGAACAGCGCAGCTAATGGAGTCTGAGTCTTCTTTCCTCATAGTTCCCATCTGGGGGATAGTCAGCGCCGGAACCGTTGATCAGCTTATGTTGTTTCCAGACGTGGCCGAGAAGTCTGTCTGGGTAGTGGTTCTCAATCAGGTGGGACTTTGGGTTGTCACACCTAGGGGAGGGGGCCACTGTCTTCTGTCGGGTAGATGCCAGGGATGCCGCCAAATATCCCACAGTGCGTGAGACATGCCCCCACCATGAGGAAGAGGCAGCGAGAGTACACTTAGTGGCTGGTTGGGTTTGGAAGGTGAGAGAAAAAAGCCAAAGACGACTCAGGTCCTGGTTGAGGTGCTGGGCAAGTGATGGAATCATTAACTAGGATTTCCTGACAAGTAGGAAAAATACTGAGACCAAGAAGAGCCTTACATCAGTTTGGGTCACGTATGCCACCAAATAAGTTAGGTTTTTGGAGCTTTTCAGATTTTAGAATTATAGATGAGAAACTGTGGGCCTGTAAAGCAATAGAGACCTAGCTTGGTTAAAGGATGAAGAAAAGAGGAAGGGGTTCGTGATAATCGGTGAGATGACAGAGGGTGATTAGAGCTCAAGCCATGGCCTTATGTGTGAAGCTGTTCCTATTTTCCTTTTCCCCAAGAGAGAACTGAGCACCCCCTTGTCCCCCACTGTGCATCGTCCATGTTTCTGTCACTTACTGCCTGCAACACTGCCATCTACACGTGTGTCTCCCCAGCCTGAGGTGTGAGCCCCTAAAGACAGAGCATCATATTTGGCTTTATACATGCCGAATGTGGTATAAGGTTTGGGCATAGCTCCAAGTGTTTATTGAGTGAATAAGAGACCATAGTAATTTGAATCTGTTTTTGCAGAAAGTATCCTATCTCTGTGAGCCTCATAATGGCCTTACATGGCAGGTAAGACTCTTTTTTTCCAGACTCTGTCTTTAAATCATCTGAGGCTCAAAGGTATGGTGAGATGGCTATGGTCACACAGCTAGTGATAGAGGTAGAGTTCCAGTTCAAGGTTTCAAATGAAGTCGAGTCATCCCTAAGACTTAGGATTTGTGATGAGAGTAGTATTGGCTGATTGTTGGTAAAATTGTGGATATCTTTGGAGAAATGGGTTACGAAATTATGCAAACCTTATTAATTCAGTAATTCTTTTCAAGCAAAATAATTTCCCCTAAAATGTGAAAAAAGAAACACAAAGTGTACACTTATCAGAGGTATAAATCAGAAATACTATTGCTAGAAAAGCAGTTTTGAATTATAATGTAAAAGAAAATACCTGTAAATATTACAATTGTAAATTGCAATAATTTTTCTATTTCTACTAGATTTTTAACATTTTCCTTTTATGGGAACCTTGTGTGCTAGTTGAGTTTTCTGATGTAGGAGATGTTGAGTTGGCTAACATTTTGGATATCAAGCTTCTATGAGTTGTCATTATCTTGAACCAGGCACAGTGACTTTTTGGAGACATTTTTGAAGGTCTCTGATGTCAAGAAGCTTACACCCAGGTTAGGAAGATAAGATTTCTAATGACAAACAGTTGATATTTACAGCATATTTAAGACCATGTGATATGTGCTATGCTTGATGGTAAAAATGAGAAAGCTAAAGGGTCATTTCTAATCTGAGGAGTCAAAGAAGGCATAGGGGATGTTACATTTGAGGACGGCCTCATGATGAGTGATATCTGAGCAGAGAGAAATGGGGTGAGGAGAAGAAGGATAGGAAGCAAAGGATGTATTCAGAGAACAGCGATCTTCCTGGGTTGAGGCCAAGGACACAGGTGTAGGGTGCGTTGTGACCTGATGCTGGAGGAGCCTCTGAGAAAGACCTGTACCATGGAGAGCTGATCCAGTAGGGACCTCGATTGTGGGGATGGAGAGTTAGAGGCAGATGTGATTGATTTCTGTAAGAGCAACTATCAGTTCCGGTAATAGAGAGGGAAAGGAAGGAAGAGAAAAGAATCATGTGTGCCTTAAGTCTCTAGCCTAGTGATTAAGTGAATTGTAAAAAGTGGAGAAAACATGACAGGCAATTTTAAGATAAATGATGAGTTTGGCTTTGGACATGCTAATTTTGAGGCATTGGCAGTACTTTCAACAATGATCCAAATGCCAGAAGATAAGCTGACTAGAGAGAGTTTGGATCTGGATTTGAGAGGCAACTGATCTGTGGGTTTGAAAGAGATTGTCGAGGGATGATGGGTGGTACAAGGCAGGAGGGTGCTAAGCACCAACTATGTATCATTCATTCTTTCCACATTTGTTGAATACCCATTACACGACTGCTACTGATTTAGGCACTGAGTATGCATTAGTCAACAGAACAGATCAACATTTCTACACTTTGAACTTACATTCTAACATCTGCACAAGACAGGGACTCTAAGCCAGGCAGTTCTATATGGCATCATATAGGCAAATAGGAGCAAGAGGCCAAAAGAACTGGAGTTAAATGATCATCAGCCTCAAGTCCGAGAAAGGACTATTGGGTGTGGCGATATTATGATCATTAGTGAACACTTTCAGCAGAGTCAGAGTAGAAACCAGCCTGAGCTATGAGGGGGTGGTGAGCAGAGGAAATAACAATGTATAGACCTTGCTTTTCACTCCTTGGCCCCTTGTTAAGACTGCACATTGAGCACGCTTTCAAGAAAGTAAACAGCAACAGAGAAAGCAGTGTCTGGGGAATTTGTTTTTGCAAGGAGAGGTGCTGTGGACAGAGGTGTAATGGTAGAACAGAGAAGGAAAGAAGAAGATGCTCAACAGAAGGCAGTGACAGTAAGAATGAGTGAGGACTTCCAATTCTGTCAAAACAGAATAACTGGAATGGGTTTACCCTCCTGCTTGAAGTACATGGGGGGAGAGGGTTGGAGGACAGACAAAATATGCAACAGATTTCAGGAGAGTGAACATCAAGCAACAAAAGATGGTCCTCCCTGAGAGATGAGAAACCAATGAGAATAGCCCCGCATTTGCCCCAGCTTACTGCCTTGAGAGAGTTCCTAGGCCATGGCACACTTCCAGGAGGAACTGAGGTAGAGCTCAGTGGACTCCCTATGTTGACATAGACCTAAGAGTTGGAGAGACCAAGGCAGCTAGGGTTCATGGGACATGGTAATGGAGAGGAAGAGAGAGAACCCTAGAGATCTACAGACGGTCTGCCTTGAGTAACCAGGAATGTATTCAATGCAGACACATGAGGAAACTACCCAAGGCCAGGGAAAGGAACGCTTGAAAAGAGTAGAGAAAGATGGCTTGGTGTTCACACAGGGCTAAAAGTTATGGCTATTCTCACTAGCTAGACTGAAAGCGTCATAATTCAAAAGGTACTGGGTAGAGTACCAGGAGGCTCTTGCCTCAGGAATCAGCCCAAAACTGAGTGCTGCTCTAGACCCACCTAAGAAATCAAATTAAGACCAAAGGCTCAAGCAAACTGTTTGCTACTAACTTTAATGCATCCTAGAACAAAGCTATATGAGATTTACAGAAACAGAATTACCCAGCACCTAAGATAAGATTTACAACGTTGGACACTCAATCAAATATTACCAGGCATGTAAAGAGGCAGGAAAACATGATTTATAATGAGAAGAAAAATGAATTGAATCTGACTCAGAACTGACACAGATAAAGGAATTAGCAAAGAAAACTTAAAACTGTTACTATAGCTGAATTCCATCTGTTCATAGAGTTAAGTAGAGACATGGAAAATTTTTAAAAGACCCATATAAACCATTATAAAAAACCCATATAAAGTGGTGAATACAACAGTATCTGAGATGAATATGCACCAGATAGGATTCATGGCAGATTAGACATTGCAGAAGAGGAGAGTAATAATTTTGAAGGCCATTAGTATTAGATACCATCCAAAGTGTTGAGAGAGGGAGGAGAAAATGGGAAATGCAAAGTGCAACACGAACTGTGGGACAGGTCCAAGTCCCCAAGCATGGGTCATTGAAGTCTGTGAACATAAAGGGTAGAAAAAGGGACAGAAAAAAATATGTGAAGCGATAACGTCTAAAACATATTTATTTTTTAAAATTTTTTTTTTTTTCAACGTTTATTTATTTTTGGGACAGAGAGAGACAGAGCATGAACGGGGGAGGGGCAGAGAGAGAGGGAGACACAGAATCGGAAACAGGCTCCAGGCTCTGAGCCATCAGCCCAGAGCCCGACGCGGGGCTCGAACTCACGGACCGCGAGATCGTGACCTGGCTGAAGTCGGACGCCAACCGACTGCGCCACCCAGGCGCCCCTAAAACATATTTAAACTTGAAGAAATTTAACAACAAATCCAGGAAGCTTATTAAACCTCAAGAACAAGATATGAGCAAACTTACACAAAGACATATGATAAAGTTGCTTGAAACCAGAGATAAAGTATGATGGTTAATTTTATATTGTCAACCTGCCTGGGCCATGGTGCCCGTGTATGTGGTCATATACAATCCTGGATGTTTGTGTTTTGGGATGAGATGAATATTTAAGTCAGTGGACTTTAAGTTAAGCAGACAGTCCTCTATAATGTGGGTGGGTCTCATCCAACCAGTTGAAGGCCTGAATTGAACAAAAGATGACCACTGCCCCACCCCCCAGCAATGAGGAAGTCTGTATCA